TCGCATACGTAATGCGCCCACTACTAAAGGGTCTGTACCACTTACACAATCAAATGGATAGTTTTACTTTTGTCAATACACATAGACCTTTATGAAAATAAAATCTTTTAATTATACCATAGTACGTTATAATCATTTTAAATAAGAATTCAAAGCATTGATAAATGTGGTCTGATAGGTTTTGTTTTTAGTAAGTGGTATTTTGTTTGTTTTTTTATTTCTTTAACTACTTCCGTTTTGGATAAATCTAGTCGCTGCTTTGACTAACTTACTGTCACTGACACGCCAAATAGTCGAAAATTTATATCTTTACATTACTCAATAAAATATCGGAGGCGATGAAGTTGATTGACCTTTTGATATTATGCTAACGTTTATTACTATAAAGTCCGATTCGAAAACTTTAAATCGTTTAGCGGTTGAAATGTTTGATGGTAAGGTAATCTTAATAAACTGAAGTGATACCTCAAACTGATCTGAGTTTATTTGCAACAATATGTAGTCAGTGTCTGCATTTTAATAGAATAAAAAACATGTATTAAACAAGTTTTGAATTGTTAGTTTCAAAATGCATACATATTATATTAGCGTGATGTAAATTTGTTAGCACACACGTTCATTTTATCGGTATGGTTATTGAACCGATTGCCACATTGTCAATGTTATTCAATTAGCTTTATGTTGGGGACCAAATGTCAACCGTTCGAGTGCTTGAGCAGCATAATTTAATAGTTTTCTTTGAATTTTTGTGCGAATCAATCAAACTATGGTCACTCATAGTTTAAAAATGTTCAACGAATCACTCTATCACGAGTTTTCTTTAAAACATAAAAAAACTCGTGTTGTAGTTTGCATTTTAATTCTTCCGACTTTGTGTAGTTTGGTTTTCGTTTAGTATGTGTAAATTCTTAGTAAATTATCGTTCCGGTTCTCACAAGCCACCTTAAGTCATCAACAATCGCCGGTCGAGTTTCATCGATCGTTCACTTATTGATATCTTATTCATTGCCGCCTTAACCGCTTTATTATTGTACTGTGGTTCCTTTAGTCGTAGTACCAGTACACTAATACTAATCTACTGAGTATAGACTTATAACACCGATCATTTTAATGTATTCTTAGAAGATAATGTTGATTTACACCTTTAATTTCTTAGGCTAATCACCGTTTAATTACTCTAAATCGATCCTCTACTATGAAGTATGTCAAACAGTGATTTATTCAATGTAAAACGTAGCGGAACAGGTGGCATACTATTCAGTGAACATTTTGAAGGTAACTAACCAAAATTAATATATACCCTACATTCAAATAGACGTTTTTCTCATAATCTTGTGAGTATTTTAGTATGGACTTACATTTACAATTATGAAAGTATTGGTATTTTCCGCAAAGCTCTATGCGTCACCGATGACCCTTGTCTGAATCACTGTACTGCCGACTGCCGCCGTGGTTATGTTAATTACTTAGTAGGTGTATGTCACACGAAGAATATATAGACAATATTGATAGTTCAAGAAGACCAAGTCCAAGAAAAATAATAACTTGTCTTTGCATCCTATAAATGAGGTTTCATACCTTAGATTGTGATCGTGTCTGTAATAGTAAGTAGGTAGTGGTTGCATGCCATTATTGCTTTGGCTTGCTGCCTTCCAAGCGAAGTTTCCGGTCGTCTGTATTATTCTCATAACGTTGACAATCATCATGTACTTAGTGGTGTTAGTTTTCATGATGATTTTACGTTTCAGTAAAACTAAAATCACTTCACCGTGTCGTGACGAAGTCTTTTTTTGTTCATCGAGAAAACAATAAAAGTTATCATGTTACACGACTAGCTTTTTGACAATAACAATAATGATTGTTTGTTTATGTAAGTACTTCTATATAAATATTTTTGGGATTTAATGCGAATATCTACTGAATAGTGTCATATTTCTCTGTATCGCGAAGGTATTATGTATTTTAACATTTTCATTTGGGTCTATGAATTTTATTAATTTCTGCCTATACTTTAGGCGAATACTTGGCACGATGATATGATGATAAATTAAAAATGTTTATTGCGACTGCGCGAAACTCCGGTGTGGCGATGCATGATTGGATGGTAAACTACAAATGAATATGAACGATGATGTGGTAGTTATAAAGGTCATATCGCTATTGTCAGTATCTCTTGCTAGCAGAGTCCTAAGGACATCACGGGTTAAGTTTTCTTTGTACAGTGTAATCTACTAAGTAATAAGTTCGTGTTAATGTTTTAAAGTTTCAAATTCATTGTTTGGTTCGCGACTAGCTGAAGAATTCTGCAGGTATGTAGTAATGTAGTTAAGTTGAAGTTTAGAAAGCAGTAATAATTTTCAAGAAATGCCAATAGCTTTGTCCCATTTAAAAGGTTGTTCGCGACAGTTATCGTTTGTCAGTAACTAGTACATTACAGTTAGTGCTTAGACATTTATTATTTACTACAAGTCTTCTGCATTCTTGTGAGGTTAAGGAGCAATTCACTGCCTGTTCGCAGCACTAAATATTTTGTTTGTTCACTTCAGTTGCATAGTTCGGAGAAATAAACTTTAAATTACGTTCGTTGGACATTTCCTTACATCACTATCGTCTTTACATCACTGAGATTTAAGTATCAGTAACATCACGTCTATTACTCTCCTGATGGGTAGGTAGGATTGTAACACTTTTGCGTTTTTGCTGCCTATGATGTGTGTCTAGCTATTTCAATCCTTTGAAATGATATCTATTATAATATTTATGATATTTAACTCATATTCAAGCTTAGGTAATGTTTTATACCATACCTTATAGTTAATGTTTATGGTTAGTGGCCAACTATTAGATAGCAGATTATTACAGGAAAAAGACTTTCGCAATGTTTACCTAGCGATGGAAACGTAACGCACGATCGTCACGATTCGCATCATTTTAAATGGTTGTTGTTTTAAAATTGGGTTATGCAACGGTTGAGGCCGTTTAAGCGCGACCCAGTGCAACTTCGTAGTTGCAGAATATCATGCAGTTCAATTCAATGATGGCGAAATAAGTAAGGCTTTTATAGTAGTGTCGGTAACCTGCTTGTGTCAATAAAATTAATGCTATGTCATCATAACGTTTCTTGCTATCATTATTGTTAATACTGTTAACGGTTACGAAATGGTCTTCATAGTGATTTAGTAGTTATTATAATTTAAAATCAGTCGATGCTACAAGAAACTTGGACTTTGCAATGTCAAACAATACACCTACAACATAACTAAATTAGGAATCATCCATATTTTTGTATGCAAATATCGAGATTCGACAAAAGTGCATCGATTCCAAATTCGAGTAAACGGACTTCCATATTCTATGACTAATACACTTGCGATGTCTGTGGTCATCACAAACATAATAGATTTACATCTACATATATACCTCCGTGGTCACACATAGATAGCATCATGTAGCTTGCGTGTTGATTGCTCATTATTCTTCGTGTTGACTGCGCCAGCTCATCGAATCTAGGTACATGTATTTGCTTGAAAATGAAATTGCCTAGGAGGCGAAAATAATCTTACAAGATGGTTTTCTGTGAGAATGAATCAAGAACAAGCGTGTGACAGGTTGTGTTTACGTTATAGTTAAAAAAAACAGGAAGTCAACCTGTTTTTTTGTTTGTTTATCTTGGGAATGTTTGTATTTTTCTTCCGTTCTTTTAAAATATGTTTGCCTATGAGGATTTTATTCTTAACACAGTTTTGATACATCAATATCAAAACTGTTCAGTACACGATTCCTAAATCGATTTGATTATTTTGACCTAAGTAAAGCACGAGTTTGTTTAGATATTTTGGCAATCGTTTATTAAAAGTTAATTGTTTACTGACACGAAGAGGACTTTGAAAGTGATAGTTTAGAAGGCAAGAGTTTTAGAGGTCGTAAGTTCACGCGATCATGATGCGAGGTTTCGAAAGGTAATTTAGAATCTAAATTGTTTAGTGGTTATAGAAACACTGAGTTCAATATGTACATTAACAACCTTTTTGAATTGAGATTGTAATGGAATCCTTTGAAGGTTATTATATTACTACAGATTGGAAGTTTTAAGTACTTGGAACTTGACTTTAAGATGGATTTCTGTTCAATTCATGGATAGAGGTTGATGATCTCAGATTATCATTCTAGTCTGGATAATAGGTCATTTAAATCTCTCTACGTTTTTGTTCATCTCTAATGATCGACATGGTCCTTAGTTCTGAATACGTTTCTGATTTAAGTGCGTTAAATAAATAAGTTAACAAGTATGTACCTACATTCCTCTACGATTGCTCTTTGATCTCATAAATAAACCGAGACAAATAGGTCATCAGACTTGTTATAAAGTAACAAGGAAGTTCAGGCCGATAGTAAATAACATTATGTCTAACTTAACGGTATTACCTGTAGATATATACTGTGAATCAGATACTCATAAATCATATACCGTAAGTATAAGCTTCCCGTCTAAATATGTACGTAGAGTACATGTGTAATGTCGCCATTGTTCACCAAGTCTCAACCTTTGTCTGCTTTTCTTTATTCTTGAAGATGAAGGTTATTGATTTGATAAACATGATACACCTGGTTTTGCTTTTATAATTCCGATAACTTTGTTTTCCAAATAAGGCTCGTGTGAGTTGGAAATACCTTTGATATTTCCTTCTCTTTCACCTCTTTGTTAATTTTTATCTAGTTTAGTGACATACTAAGTTTAAAAGTGTGTTATGAATTTGGTCGCTAGTAAAATCTGGCTCGCATTAGAAAATACTTGCCGATTTTTTAATGTTAATGAGGTTTCAAAAAGTAAAAAAATAACTTTCTTATCTGTTCTAACGATAAACGTGGTTGTAAGTAGGTATGTAAGCTCAAAGTTACAAGCATAAATTCTATAACAAAAAGTTGACGGCAACTTGAAACTTCTTTGGGGAAGTTTCAAAAACTTTTGGTTGCCTTATAAATTCTTCCTTAATCTCTATTCACATCAACAACTTGACAATCTGCTGTGTAGTGTAGTGTTCAAGTGTATGTGTATAATACTTGTCTTTTTGGTCCTGATTTCGCCGAAAATGAGTGTTTAAATGCCATCTACCTACCTGCTGATAACCAACCCGACCCTTCCGCTGCCTAAAAAGTCCAAAAAGACTTAAAACGCCAGATAAGATTCTCAGAATCATAAACGTCGCAGTTGTTTTTGAGATTCTTTGTATCAAAGAAGTACACGTACATTCGCAATAAGAAGAGTAAATAAACAAGTGGCTAAGGTAGTAAACAGTAAAACATATCAATCGATTCATAAAGCCTTTATCACTTCTTATAGCTAAAATTACAACCAGGTGTTAGTCAATATATGTAATGTAATTGTAATAAACGTGTTGGAATGCATTGTGGAACAACAATAACGAAATCTCAAAGTTTTGTGACACTTGTTATAAATAACTTACTAACTTAATCTTACCTTAATTTTCAAAGTTGTGCCGCCGTAGTCCTGATATTTAACCAGATACAGGAATAGGTCGACTAAACAAACAACAGAAAAGCTACTTTCAATACACCGAGGACTTAAAATCTGGTTCCGCGATACCGCTATGCACTTAAGGAGAAGTTTACGAACGCATACTTCGCCTGTTTCAAAACTGCGCACACTGTACCGCACTGTTAATGTTTAAAAACCGTCTTGTTGTTCGTTGTGCTTAGAATACAATATAGTTCGTTTGACGGTGGCGTTCGTTCGATCGTTTTATCGTTGAACCGGTAGGACGGGGCGCGATACCTGCCGCGAACCCGTCGACTAATCGACTGTCTGCGCTGTAGGGCACGTGTTTACATGAGATCCATTCGTGTGTGCGTGCGAGAAGGCTTCGCTGCGCCTGCGAGTGTGCGGTGTTACCAGCACAATAAAACTACCAGCGATCTTGTCGTAGACGCAGCGTCCATTTTAGAAGTGATTTATCATAAGTATTATTTGATAAATCATATATTTTTATCGATTTATATTAGGTGTTATTAAGAGTCGCTCCTAAATATCAGTTACTTAAAAATGTCTTGAAAGTTTCAAACGTGGTAGAGTACCTAGTCATGGTTAGTTTTTCATTTTATCGTTAGATTCGTGCTTTCGGACATATGTATGTAGATACAATTACGCTATTTAAGGGTGCTCCATACTTTACCATTTTCTTTAATAATTCCAATCTGCTTAAAATTAAATTATTAAGGCGTTTTGTTATTAAATTATTTGGTTTATGTTCGTAGGTAATATAAGTATACCTATAATAGTGACGTGCACCAACATTAATCACAGTTCTACATATAAATATGGAATAGTACTACTGAACATAAAATCAACCCAACATCTCCCTAAATGCTTACAATTGTGGTAAAGAGCTACTTACGTCATCATGAGTCATTACATTACTTACCTAGAGTTTCCAAATCTTTGGTATTAATTTCACTGATCATACAATACTTTGTCCAATCTGAGTATCGAATCAGAATATCATGCTCAAAAATCCTTCGGTTGAGGTCATGCTCGATGTTTTCTACCTATGCTGGTTCCCAATATTTAAAAGTTCATCTTACTTGGGCAGAAAGACTTTCGCGTATGGCAACACTAATAACTTAGACAGCTACGTATACAAAATCGGAGGAGCTTTAATAAAGCACTGTGGATCCTTTGGTTTAGTTTTATTTTCATTTATAAATAGCTTACATACTGGTTTGACTTCTTGCAAACAACTGCGACACTGTAATGGCGGAGTTTCTCAAAACATTCCACCATTTTGACTTTTTAAATTAGGCATCAATTTAAGCACTAAACTGGTTATTCTGGTCGTCTTTGATCCCGGTCGTTGTTCTAAATTGATTAGTCATCATCATCATTAGTTGCAGCCTGGGAATACCAGATAAAAAATATTCCTAGTAGGTATCTCGATGATGATAATCTTCATGTGTAGTAAAAGGAGCTCTTGTTTGTTTTAAATCAGGGAATAGTTGATCTTTCATGTCCCGTTTGGGTAGATGATCATCTAGGCTTTTTCATTACCATGTACCTACTTTTAGTCTAGTACTTTTCTTATTGCTTAGACATTATCAATTCGCAGTATGTATTGATTTAAACGGTGTTGTAAAGTTGTTAAATGAAAATCACCAATTATAATTTTTAGATTTATTTTATTTTCAATAACATAAAAATGTTATGTTTTTTTCATTTTACACATTTCGAAATGAATTCATTGAGTACCAACCTGTTTGCTAAACTTTTCACATAATGTTCAATACGCTACAGTACAGTTTGGCTGTTTAAACTTCAGAGTCATGGGTCGCATGTTACCTTATTTAGAATTCTTTTTCACTTATTTCCAAATGCTGCTTATATTTGTACGAGCACAAAATCTACTTCACAGCAGTTCATTATAATATTCAACAAAATATATAATAATATTGTAATCATTTACTCACTTGGATGGATCAGTCGATTCGATTTTTGTTATTTTTTTTAACGTGATATGCTATAAATTTTTTGTGATATTTTCAATTTTATATAAACAAATTCATTATTTTTTAAATTACCTAAATTAGGTAAACATGTAAAAAATTACTATTTGGTCTTACAAAAATCGTTGCGATGATCCATCCAATAGCAATGTCCACTACAATAAATAGATCTAGCTAACTGGAATTGAAGGTCCCTTAAAATTATGTAATTTATGCTAAAGCTGTGATCAACTAGACACACAATCAATCAACCACGAACGGACGACGACAAAACATTTGACAACGATTCGTAAATAATTTATAATTTGTTTGAATAATTGACCACGGCTTTGTATAATACTAATTTTATTGTTTTCCGTAATAGTTTGACTAACTCTAAAGAGGCGTCCATATTCATAGCATGAAGTAAAGATGCGCAAATCATCAATTTACACAAGATAGTGAAAGTATCGACAGTTTTACATACAACTCTAAGTTAGAGATATTTTTATAAACTGGTATTAATTTTTATTAACCGTAAATAATGTTTGAAAATTTTACGAGATCTAAATGAGTTTGTGATTGTCATTATTTTACGGGAACTTAATTCCATCTAGAAAGAAAAATGTTGACAATTTGCGCTGCGCATTACTCTAATTATACAGATAATAAAAATTAAACAAGTTAATAGAAAAACAAAATAATGTGATTGATCTTGCTTGCGCAACATTACTCGAGAATTTGAAAATTGGAACCAAACATTTGAAAATACGTGAAATAAGATTTTGTCAATTCGATGCTCATCGCAATTTCAATTCTTATGTATTAAATGTATAAATATTTTAAAACAATGTATACATATACATATTAACTCTATTTATTTAAATAAAATTTATTTATCAGCACTTTATTATTATTGCTTTACGTGATTCTGAGGTGGGCAAAACGAAACAAAATTAAGATGAGCACAGATGTAACATATGTATATATAATATGTATTCTTCTATGTATGTTTGTTTATATTGGCGGTTTGCACTTGTAAATAGAAAACGTTTTAGAGCACAGATACAGTAGACTCAACATATGTTAAGTAGACGATAAAGATTCAAGTAGTTAATCATGTTTTAAACTCATAAGTTCGGGTATGTTATGTGACTATATCCAAGTTCAGGAAAGACAAACTAAAAGATAATTAAAAAAGAAAATATTATTATAATATTAGTTTCTATAGATATAGGAACTTTTTGCCTACAAATCAATGAAATATCAATAGACTAGTTTAATATAATTGAAACATATAGATGAACAAAATAAATAAGTCTTAAATGTTATTGTATTTTTAATGGTTCTAAAATATTTGACTATTAAAAAATAGTTGTAAGCTTACTGTACTGAGCTCTAAACGTGCAGGCTTGTATAATAGGTATGGTAATTTTGTATGTACATGTAAAACCATGTGTAGATTTTCTTTAATTTAGTAATACTATACTAAACTGGCCGTCATATAAGTATCTGCCATGTTCTTCTCCTGTATATAACTAGGTAATATAATATTCTTATCTAGATTCATATTTACAAATAATACAGTTCATTACTATTTATATAGAAATTAAAATATATTTCTATCATTCTTCGATTCACATAACGCAAAATAATTTAACAGAGTTCATTTTTGCACTCACATTTACAATATACTTTGTAACTAATTTGTTACCATTTATTTGTTTATTCAAACAACTCATTTAGAATATATCACCCAAAAGCGAGTAGCGTTATACTCACGAATCCTATCATATCTTACCATTTAAAAATGCAGAATATGCGAAAACTTGAAGGAATATGTTTACAGTAAATGGCAATTGAACATTATAGTTCGCTCGCATCCAATAGGAACTATAAGATTCACAATGCCTCCGGACGGGCCAGCCGCTCGCGCTAACCTATACGTACAAAGAGCCGCCCGGCTCCGCCCACAGTACACAAAACAACTAGCACAAATAAAATAACTCCTCTTTATTATTTACACCCGGTGAACTAATCACAAATTATGGACACAAATCAAAAACTAATCGATTACAGTAATATCGAACAAGAAGTTGAATTATTTATGAAAATTTGTGTTACAGTTTATGCTAGAGTTTAGAATGTTAAAGGAGCTCAGTAGCGCCACCGTGTGTGCGGCGGTGCGAGGAACTATACATGCACAACACCGCAGTGTCTATGGCCGTTGCCTCCAATACTTTACTTATATACCTAATAAATGTTCTCCAACACCATTGTTTGAACAATCGATGCCTCTGTGTGCCACTGTATTCAAAACAACAGTACGATCGCAACTTCTACTAGACGATAACACCTTTACAAGGTGACAGAGATTCTGAAGACATCTACTGTTCGGACGCTCCGCTGTATTGAACCCAGTGACACGTGGAGAAGGAACTAAAATCTAATATCACAATATCGGGCTTCTGGCTTGCTTGATTGCGAGTTGAACAAACGCCTAGTTTTACTTTCAGACGAACAAATCTCATTGTAACAGGTATAACGTAGACGGTTATAGACATCGGCAAGTTTTTTGTGGATATTCCACTGAACAGGTAGAATAGTTTCTGTTAAGTACATATCGAGATCTTCAGTTTCCTTTGTTGGTTTTAATTGACAATCCTGTATGTCATCCCGTCTACGTATACTGCAGGTCACCGTCTGTTCATTCAAACAGCGCCAGGAGGTCGTCGGAGGAAGGCGCACGCGGTGGATGGCTGCCCGCCGACGATGATGACGACGGCGGCGTCGCTAGTAGCTCACCTAGTGCAGGTGCGTCTAAATACGACAATAGCTCCATCGGGTCCACACTCGTCTCCGGCAATAACTAGAAAGGAAAAATATCAAAATCAGGCTTTGATAGACGCTTCGCTGGTGTTGATTCCTTTTTATAATTGGCTTAATGAACACAAATCAATTACCATTCAGAGGATCAACAATAAAACATCCAACGAGGTAAATATGAACATTTTCAAATGTGTCTACGTATACCAATATTGTATTTACTTTTCTTTTAATAAATTCAACCGTGATCTGCTGTAGCTATAGCCCTGAAATTGTATGTAGTTTTATACCAATGTATATTGTAAGTACTTACATTGAGATTATCTGTCCCTTCTCCATCTATGACGGCGGCGGGATCAAAATTGAGGTCGGCGGGAATGTCGACATCGGTGAGGGAGTGGTGGTCCACGGAAGGCGGCCCCGGCGTATGCGAGGAACCCGGCGTGTGGGCGCCGCCACCGCCCGGTGTGTGCGCTGAGCCCGGCGTGTGCGGCGTGTGCGGTGTATGCGGCATCTGCAATACACCATACTTTAGACACAGATTCTCACCCAGGTATGCTAAACACATTTTAGACTTTACACTGAACACATTCACTTGATAATAACAACTCTTACCTGATCGTTAAGACTCTTCTCCATCGCGTTCAGAGGATCTAATGAGTTTACACTCTCATTTAGATGAGACAGAGGTCCGTTTCCAGCAAACTCGTTACTGCCAGGCCCATTGTTCATACCAAAATCATAATTCTGATTGTTCGAACTTGAATTTCTGTTCTGGCCGTTTTGGTTATAGGAAGAGATCATAGAGCCACTGGCTATTGTGTTCATGTCAGGAGGAAGGTATGGCGATAATGCCTGGTTCATATCCCAGTTGTTCATTGTTGGCATGTTCATAGAACCCGGTGATACTGCTTTACTACGCTTTCCTAAGCTGCCGTCACTGCTATCTTCTTCTTGCTGCGGAAACAAAGTAAATAACACTTTAGCAACGATCTACATTTGGTACTAGTAGTTGTGTTAATTAAAAGTATAAACAAGCGTTATTGTGCTTCGTCGTGTGATAAATACTCACCTTAATCCCAGTATTGTTAGTTATTTTAGTAGCCTTCCAGTTGGCGCCACTGTCGATTGTCACTTCATCTACATCTGAACTGTTTAACGTGTTTAGGATGCCCCACATGTATTGGTCGACTTCTAACCCTTCTAATTGTGCTGGTTTACTGAAATGATAAAATGTCTTGTAAGATTTTGTACATTTTGTTATAAAATATGGTTAGCTAAATGTATACAATTTAAGAGAGACTTACTTGCAGACTGGACATCGCCATGACCCCCGTTCACAGTTTAGTTGTAAATACGATTCCAGATCGAAGCACTGTATGTGTTTGCATTCGTGTCCACGTGCTGGTAAGGTGATCTTCTTACACGTAATTGGACATTTTAATGATACTTTTAAAGCTATTTGTTCAACACTGTCCCTGTCATTAGCAGTGTTAGATCCATTGCTACCGTTTGTCGGCGTTTGGTTGAAGTTCATTTTGATCTTCGCGATACAGTGGTCTGCTGTTAATAGGCGTTTTCTTAATAGGCCTTGCAGCACACTTCGTACGCTCGGCCGGTGAACTAATTGTAATACAAACAGATGCGACTGAAAAGAAAAGACAAATATAAAGTTTCGTTGTTTATAAGTTTGCAATTTGCATCAATGAAACATGTATCGGTTAATTAGGTGAATTAAATGTAAATACTTACACAGCAACAGGCTGAAACGGTGATCTGTATCGTGTTTCTTCCTGGCTGGCACACTTCTTTCAGGTACAATGGTTTGTGTGATGTTTTGTTCTCTCCTCTATCTATTACTAATGGAGTTGCGTTGACCGACACTTGAACACTTGCTGGCCAGTTTGTGTTCATCTGCCTATCTTCGTGGTGGAAGCATTTTAATTGTAGCTCAAGGTCCGATCTGCAAGAAAACATTATTTAGTAAGCTGTCCTTTTAGTACATATGGTTTTTACAGTCATTTATGTAACTACAATAATATTTACCTCCATATTAACGTCGAATGGACCGTGGGCTTTAATTGAAATACATGATTGCTAACAGCTAAATTATGTTCTAATCTAAATGGTGGTAGTATAATACCATCTCTTACGGGGAATGTTAACCGGAGCTCGTCATCTGAAAATAACAGAAAAAATAATTAATGAATTTGTTGTCTAATAAGAGATATAAGTAGTATTTAACTTTGACATATTATTATAGAAAACTTACTTTGCATGCCCATAGAAGGTTTCAGCTCGTTGAAATGAGGTTTCACATCGCCATTAGGGCTGATATATGGAGGCATACTGCTGGCAGGCGTTAGGGGTGGCGTCGGATTTCCAGGAACTGGACTGTGCTGGTAGCTCATGTTAGTGCGCATTGCAACTTCCTGCGCGAATTGACCTCCATATTGTCCACCATACTGCGCATTACTGCTCTGGTGCTGAGGGAACTGGTTTGGCACGTTACCATTAAAATATTGCCCCTGATTCGAATAAGGTGGCGTCGACTGCCTCATCGTTCCTCTCATTGCTGCACCGAAATTTCCGCTAGGTCCCAACGGTTGCTGTGGAGGGTATTGCCCCTGGAAGCCCGGCCTACCACCGTACCCAGCTGGGTACTGAGTCGGTCCAAAATTGGGCTGCCCACTCATGTACTGCGTCTTCCGCTGGCCCATCAGCATAGTACCGGACGGATACGGCGTATGCCGCCTCTGGTATCCCGGCCCCATTTTTGCCGAGCTGCTCATTTGTCCAGGCCCCATTTGCGATGGCATCATGTTTGCGTGCATACCCATGTTAGCCATCTGAGCCATTGGGTTCATACCGTTCATACCGGCATTTCCCATTTGCCCCATACCGGTCATCCCATTCATCCCGCTGTTGCCACCCATCCCCATCCCAGTCATTGCTGGGTTATGACTGCGTTGTTGACCATAGCCGTTCATCGCACCATATTGGGGATTTCCCATAGTCATGTTACTTTGCATCTGTAAAATGAGAATTTTTATCTGTAGAATCGTATACGTGACTTAGAGCATGTTCAATTATTTTTGATCGACTTTCAACTCCTTTTGATTAATTGATTAATATTCAACGAGTGTTTGTGTTACACTTTTTTTATTAAGGGTCGAATTTTAGGAATTTTAGATGGTAAATTATAATGTAGTAATGTAGATGTAGGATATCAGTATTTCATCACAGTTGAGGTGTTGTATTCGCTTTTGTATCTGTTATTACCTGCGAAAATGGCTGCGAGTCCTGCATCGCGGCCGTGGTGGCCGCGGCGACCATTGCGGCGGTGGCGCCGAACTGCGCGTTCTCGCCCCCGCCGCTCATCGCGCCCGAACCGCCGGCGCACCCATAGCCGCTAAAACAATATCAATCAAATTTTTATAAATAAAAATTCACAGATTTTGTAGATCTAGATATGTACTTACTATATTACTTCCTAAGTACCTCATTAAGCATATTCAACATTATCAAAGTTACTAATAGTGTTAAAATTGATTGTTTCTTATAGTGTGTATCAAATAGATACACGTGTACACATTAAATGTGAAATCGGTCCGGTTAATATTATTTCACTCACGATACGAGCAGTTTCTATTGCAAGCGGCCTTGCAGAATCGAACATTCCACACGTTAACGCTTCGATTATTAATAAACTCAGACTCAATATTCAACCCAAATTCTATCGACGCAAGATCTTTTTTTAATACACGCCGTGATTTTATTATTTTACTAACAATGAGAGAAAAAATCAATATGGACGTATAGTGACGCGTTGTTACCCCTGTGTTTCTCTCGGGATGTGTTTGATTTTTTGTATGGCGCCGGAGTGGGAGAACGATTCATGTGAACTGCTTTTGGGGCGAATTCCCGAGCCTTCCCGGAGCCCTTTCTAATAATTCCCATTCGACAAATGCACGACAAACACTCGCACGGGCTACCCATTGTTGCGAGCATCTGTAGTGGAGCAACAATATTGGCCCTTTGTGAACGTGTATGAAATTATTTTAATACATTCACATTTACGTGTGTGCGTGTATGAACACAAACAGTAACTGATTACGTACAAAATTAATTGAGTAGTAAAATATACCTTTATATAACAATTCGAATCATAACTCGCTAAAATTAGTTTGTTAGCTACGATTGCATTACCGTACGTCAATCAATTAAAAGGTGCGTAGTCTGTGGCATTGTCGATATTTGATTTATTGTTGTGAGGCGGTTACATCTAGATACTACCTTTTAAGTATTCTCGTAAATAGCTTAACAGATACTTAATAGCGCCGACAACTAATAAACACAAGTCAACAACGCTCAACTCGACATCGTCTCTATTCATTGTCGCTGCAGATGATTTACAAGGGTCCTTCCTTAGGTAAACTCGACCCGGCCTGCACTTCTTTTTATAGTTTTGTCTGGACCTTTTTCTTTTTGCCGACCGAAATGTGTAGTCAACAAAAAATCTGTGTGTTCTGTATCCTGGTACACTTTTTGTAAAAGTGGTACCACATCCGAATAATCACTTACGGTCTGTTCAAAATATTTGGGTTGTTGAATGCGAACGTTCGTCTCAGGCATTCTTTTGGGACAATTCTCGGAACACCTTTATGAAAGACTTATCTCTCGCTAAACGAGCCTGCACAGACTTGACGACTGCTGGCGAAATGGTACCTACTACCATGGAATATAATACTGGTGCTTTGTGCAGAGGGTACGACACGATCTATATGTGGGCGCGTTACACCCGTTCTTCGACATACGAAACTTCTAAATAAATCAATATGAATGAGTAGGCAAGCCGCTATTTTGAGAAGCTGGAAGGTGTTTGGCATAGTATTGAGAGATGTGCGAGTAACGCGTAGGTATTTTGATACATAGGCTGCAGTTAATTTTAGATTAGTGCGCAGACGTGTCGGATTCCTGGTTAATTGGCAGTCGAGATAATCGTGTATTGAAACCGCCTGCTTAAGAATCACGTTTCTACTTTCAAATCTAAATTATTAGGCGGCCAATGAGTAATATGTACCAGGATTATTTGTTATTTGTAGTAACAGTAAAGATTTATTATTTTAGATTTGTTGTTAAAATCATTTATAAGCGTGTATAACTAAATGTTAAGTTTTATTTGAAGTGAAGTGTTAAATAAGGCATTAATTGTGAGTCTCGTATAGATTACTATCGCGGTAGCGTGAAGCCGTGGCGTGTTCCACCCCTGTGTTTCGACGACAGTTGGTCACCCCCATTTAAATGCCACTTCACATTGTGGCTTGTGCGCACACTGACATAATATAAAAGCGTTAACGTTAATATTATTGGATCGATTGAGTCGCGTCTTAAGTATCTTTTATTTTGATTGGTATAAGTAACATAGTTTTTTGATTATAATCGTTGTATAGAGGTATACAAACAAGTGTGTAAATAAGAAATCTTGAATAGAATTGTGTCTGATTAGGAGTCGGTCTACGTAACTAGTATATTTTTGGATTTGTTTTGCCGCGAAGTGTAACCACGGGCCATCGGCGTTTTAATTAAGTATAACACAATCTATCTCTTTCCCATCAATTGATGCGGGGTCCGGAGAATGAATCATGCTTCAAGGAGCGGATTCCGGGGGTTTACAAATGGAACCGAGCGTTCCGGGGTAAATACGGTACAATGAGCGGGGAAGGGTCGGCTACGTCGCCTAGGGTAAGTGGGGCCGGTCACGTCAATATGGGGCTTTATTATGGCGACGCTCCCGATAATAATTTGTTTGGCTGTGATGATATTGAACCGAAAGGAATCGCTAATTTAACAACGTATATTAACACGTGTATTTAAATTTGCCTTTTTTATTTCATGTCATTGAGGAAGATGTTACTGTTGCGATTGAAACGTTATGTGTTACAAACACTACGGCAGACATATTTAAGGTTTCTATTGAGAATTCGTTCGGGCATGGCGCACGTGGTGTATTAGTATGTTGTGTCAGTGCATCCGCCCCCAGACGTCTCGCTCGATTCAAACTGACGTTTTTTCCCACGATCACTTACTAACGGTTACAAATCTCTTTGTTACTTACAATGCCCTTATAAATTCTTAACACTTTATGATTTGATATTAATTTAATGAGTAACTTTGGTTCAGTTTCTCTAACTTCCCTACCCTTGAAGTTAAGTAGACTTCCTGTGTTCTGTTCACACAATCTCGCTGCCGGTCCCCACTTTTATTATTATTTACTTATTGGTTTTGTATAAAGGCAGCCTGCCATCAACAATATGTCGTTTGTAAAGGTGACTACTAAACAAAGCCGTTGAGCGCTTCGACTTAACACCTGCTCAGAATTTTTTATAACATTGTAATTTGGTTCATAATAATCATTACTAAAAACCGTTTATTTGGATAGTCTTCTGTAATTATTTATTTAAAATAGTGACAGTTTAAATAATCAAAGTAGAAAGTGTAAACGAAAAAAATGTTATTGGAATGAATCTTTAACTGTTCGATGCTCTCGGTTGTGTTGCTAGTTTAAATGTTTTGTTTATTTGTGTTTATTGTAAGCGCTAAAGTGCAGTCACCGCGTGCATTCCCATTATGTGCCTGTGTGAGAGTTTCGTGGATGTGTGCGTGAGTCTGCAGTAGTGTGAGTGCAATGAGGTGCGACTGTGTGCGTGCTGGGTGCCCTAAAGCGTTTGTGCGTGTGAATGGAGGAGCACATTTCATTTATAATTGCAGTGATGCGCGGTCGACAATGTCACACTTGTGTGTACTTTTAAAGTTATGTTTGGTTTGTCGGGGCAATCGAATGCACGAGTATTTAAAATAAATAATTTAGTTCTGATAGATATTGATTTACGTACGTTATTTTGTTAGATTGGTTGTGTAATAAGAATTTCACAGTTAATTTAATACATGAATTGTAATGTAGTTGAGATATTTACGTAGATGGTGTATTTTTGATTTTATTGCTTGTTAACTACGATAAGGTGGCACAGGTAAGCCGAGTCACGTTTCAGCGTTTTGTTGAAATGTAAACAAACTTGTTCCGGATAAGATAAAAACAGTAAAGGCAACCAGGCTGGTACTTACACAAAGCGTCAGTTTTGGTAACTGATAACAAATTACAGATCTACCTATTTATCATTTTTGATTCATAATTTAACCGTCACTTAGATAATTTGCTCTCAACTTAAAAATTCTGACAGAATTTTATGTAACGATGTTTCCACAACACCGACAACGATTTTTGTAATATCGTTGACTATTTAAAATTTAGATTTATGCTCATGGCAAAAAAAAAATCTAGCAATTTCTACGTAACCTTACATAACTCCTACCTAATAAAAGTTAAAAACAATATTTGGTGTACTCACCTAGGGGTGTTGACTCTGTATCCAATGGTCCCTTGCAATGGGTTGTGTTTTCCACTATCGGGAGCTTGTGCTCCCCCGTAGGTGATGATAGAGCCCGCGTACCCAGCCGTACTATTGGAGTTCGCCGTCCTGCCGTTCCAAGGCACCCCCTGAAACACGATGCACCTGGTTTGTTGCGACTCAAAAATATCGACGTCAGCTCGTAACTGACATCTCCACCAATCGGCATTAATTCTACAAAATTTCCATCATGGTGAATTCTACTTTTTTCTCTTCAATATTGTACTCGTGTCAGTCGCGAGCGTACAGTCGTATTTTCTGTTATCGCGTATCGCGCGTAAATTTCGCTCCAGCCGTTCGTCGAACGTCAACAATTGACGAAACGTTCATCGTTTACCTTTGTGAAAATTTCATTGCCGTCATCTATTATGAATCGCTTCTTGTCCATTATTTTCATGTCTGATTATTACTATTTAATTTTTTATCCAATTAAACATTTTTCACATTTATAATTTTTAATCAACACTTAAAATCATTATTGATTTTGTCACTCGCAAATTTTTGCTTGATCACACATATGTTCATTTCACATTTTTCATCTGTTAACGATGAACGCTCCGTGCATTGATTAGTCTTCGAATCAGCTGAGACAAAATCCAGCGTGTACGTTTACGACAGGTGGTGTCCTGGCTTTAAACATTTCACATATTTTTTGGGAATACCCAATGTTGTTTCAGAAAAATATTTTATTTTATTACTGAATATTTTTCAGTCTATGTTGAAAAAAAAATATTTTTTTTAAACTTGTAAAAAGTATTAAAACCAGCACAGAAAATTTAGGAAAACACTGATATTTACTTGAATGCCACTTTCACGTAACACTGTTCTTGAATTCACTGCAGAAATATTTAATTCATAATCCAATGTTGACACTTAGAATAAATCCTTTTTTGGTGATCCACTTCACTGTTT